GTGTCTTCGCGATGTCTCTACGGTGGCTCCGGGACGGCTTCGCAGTGTCTCTAGGGCGTCTGCTGGGTCCCTCCTGGGTGTCTCCCGGTTGCCTCCCGGGTGTCTTCCGGTTGCCTTGGCAGTAGCTCCCTACCGTCTCGAGTGTGGCCCCTGGCTGGCTTCGCATCGGCTCCTGGATGTCTAAATCCGACTCTTAATTAGACACTTTTTAGACATCCTCGATGTCTCGAGCGCGTATTGGACGTGTCTGTAGCGAGTCTTTGCTTTCCCTGTGCACTGACTGTGTGTTGTCTATTTCTGAGACACCCTGAAGCCGCTTTTGTTTTGTACGGGAGCAAAGTTGTTTCTCCGATGCTCAAGTTTATTACTGAATCGAGTTGTTGTATCGCCTTGTGATGTAACAAGGGCGGTTGTCAGACAGTAGTCAGACAGTCAACAGTAGTACCCAGTTATAACAGAGGTTCTGATGTTTTCAAGTAACAACACAGAAAGTAGTCCAGAAACAACTAACTGCTTGTTTTGAATTAAATACAAACTTGGAATGTTTTTGAACAAGTTTGTTTTTACCTCCAACAACGTCGCTACTTGTCAAAAATACGGTCACCACTGAATAGGTTGTTTCTCAACAACTATTTTTTTCATCCATATAAGCGGCTATGAAAATAGCTGTGGATTAATCTGCAGACTACGAACAAATGCGAATTAAATTGAGTGGCGACTGTCAAGATGGTTACCTCAAGTGAGTTGGCCTCACTCCTCGCGCCGCTTAGCTCGACCCCGACCACCCTGTCCCGGCTCCAGCCACGGCTCGGCTCGCACCCTCAAACGCCTGGCCTGCCCTTTGACCGGCAGCTAGCATAAAGGGAAGTGTGTGCCTTGCAAACACGGGAATGGGCTCGTTCGCACCGGGAATACAAAAAAAGAGAGAGATAAGCTTCCCCGTAGTGCTTCCCCCATCCTCTCCCGTGTGCGCGCAACAGCCTGCTCGCCTGCTCACCTCGTGAACGTTTTCGTATTAATTCTGCATTGTTAACGAAATTTTGTCTCGTTTTGTTTCAGGGACCACTGGCAGCCCTTCTAAAGGATTTTATTGGTGAGTGTTTGTTTAGTTATAAAGTTCCAAACAAAAAATGCTTTATGCACAGATGGACTAAAAAATCAAACTGCCTCCGAAGCACTTTTTAGGGTTTAGAGACGTCTTGGGAGCAATTTCGCGTGAAATTGTCACCAGTACAAATGTGTTCAAATCAGGCACATAGAACCAGGGAAACGTGGCACGGAAGATAACTTTTGCGCTAAGGAATAAACTCGTTCATTAAATTAGAATAATCACCTTAGGGTGACCTCCTATGTGTTTCTGCCCATACCCACCCTATATACACAAAAAACTGGACACTTTATGAAAGTTTCTACCACAATAAGCTTCTTGTGTTAGAAACTTCCATAAAGTACGTCCATCATGCACAGTTTTTAACCGACCGTCGTTTAACGTTCACTCCCTGCAAGCTCTCATAGCGCCTAATAGGTAGGCAATATCTTGACTGCAATACATACGTGTAGTGCGGGTTGGCCCATCCTTAGTTTCACAGGCGTCGAGCCGTCGTAATTTGTGAAATGAATCAAAGAAATACGGGTGTTTTCTGCTAATCTCAGTCTGTAGTAATTTCACTGATAAACTAAGTGTTCAACTGCTCAACACTTAATTGTGCTACTGCAAGCTAAATACTTGCAAGTGTGGAACTGCAAGTTGAATACTTGCAAGTATTCAACTTGGTAGGTGTGCACTTGCAAGTTTGCAACTCCTTGGTTGAGCACTTCCTCTATAGTAAGCGTTCAATCTAAGGAAGTGTTGAACCGAGTAGGACGGAAACAGATGCATCAGTGAGTTGTGTTTTTTTTCACTTCCGTTTTAAACAGCTTGGAACACCCTTTAAGGTATGCATGCCATGTAGACTTTAAATATAAAGTATACAATGTACACATTTGAATTGACAGAGAAAACTCGTTCTCCCCAAGACAAAATAGATGTGGTGTTCGTAAAGAACCTGTAAAACATGGACCATAGCTATAACCTATTAACGCTTAGCTTGTCAACCCACTCATTCTTGTTGTATTTTTTGTCACAGGAATATAATGCTCGCTCAGCCATTACGTCCTCGCGATGCCTGGCTCGGACCCTGAGGAGCCCTGGTAAGCAACCAACCCCTCTTCAATAAATCCTGCACGTAATTGCGAGCGCGCCTAATTATGTAAGCAGTCATCATTCTGAAAAAAAAAAAATTCTTCTTCTTTGGCTATTTAATGTTATTAAGTTGTATAAAGTTTGTCGTGATTTTACGACATTTTTTTGGTTAATTATCTGTAACGAAACCGTATTCGTTTTCGACAAAATATCAAATTTCGCGCCCCTACTAAATGCTTGGTCAAGTCCATAACTAACGTAAAAGTTTGAAATTTTTAAGAGGTTTTGTCAAACATTGTATGAGCCGAGAATTCCTGTACAGCAGAAGCACGGAGTGCAGTGTGGCTCGCTGCACCCACAGAGAGCCATTTAGCAGATACAACGAAATCAGTGTTTTTAGAGAAAAAAAATTGGTTCCTAAACCCGACTAAAATTTACTGACCGCATTTTTAACTAAATAAAGTCGCAGCAATCAAATTAGGTCAGCTAGACTAAATTATTTAATCGCCTCGGATAAATTTTAGTCTCTAGACCTATTTCGTTGGTTTTGAATTTGGTTCTCTGGACTAAAAACGGTCTTCGCGGTGTGCCAGCGCTCGTCGCTCGTCTCTCGCCCTCTGTGGATTGCACTAGAAGCGTCATAATCCGGAAGAAAAGCAGAGTGCGTCAGTTACTGCCGTGAAATGTAAGAAGGGGGTTAGTCCTCTTGGCACCAAGTCCTTTTAATCGCCTGTCACTGTCATCGGGTACATCGGAAGTTCCCAATGTGACGTTAGGAAGTTAGTTTTTGGTACAAGCTAACTTCAGGATGACTTGAACTTCCTATACACTAAACGGCAGTGACAGACGATTAAAAAGCCATGGTGCTGAATGGACTTACCCCCTTCTTCCGCTCCACGGCAGGGAGTTATCAGCTGCACCGGCAAGCCTTCCCTACCACTCCGTCTCTCGCTGCCGTGAAGATAACAACACCCGCATGTAAAAAAAAAGAGTCAGTTCCCCCAATCGAAGTTTTAGTTAATTTCCACGCAACTTACTGGCTTTAGCTATAACATTGATTTTCAACGTACCAGACCAGGTGGCTGACTAACGCCACGCACTTTTGTAGCTATGCAGGGAGGTCCACAGACCCTTTCCATCATTTTGCTTATACTGTACCACGTGCAGGTGAGCGGGCGGGTTGCATATTCGCACGGGGTTGTAAGGCGCCGTGGTGAGCGACGGTAGGCAAGCCCGCCCGCACCCCTGCATGCGGTACAATTTAAGGAAAATAAAGGAAGGGGCTGTGGATCACCCTGTACTGTACCGCGCGGGTGCGGGGAGGTATGCCTATCCTCTCTGTCTACGGCTGCTGCTTATAGGCTCCGTGCGAGAAGGGAACCCATCCACACGCGTGCATGCGGTGCAGTATAGCTACGAAATTATTGTGCGGAGAGAGTCAACCACCTGGTACAAAAAGCTTCGAAAACTGTGGACAACATGCACTCATATTTTTAGACAGTCCCCTAAAGACTGCCTCTACCAGAAGGAATACCCCCCCCCCCCTCTCCTTGCTACAGCGCTGAGCCTGTGTCATAGTGTGTGTGTGTTTGGGCAAGGCAGGATCATCAGCGCGCAGCCCGGCGCTGCTGCTCGCCCCACCGCTGCCCTCCCCCGCACTGAGCGAGTGGGAGGGGAGCGGAAGGCGAAGAGAGGGGGGAGGGAAGCGCTGCCTCCCTGGTTCCCCATTCACCAGCCGCTGCCACGCCACACCGATGCGATGATATACCTTGTAACACTTTACACTTAGGAGACATCTCTAAAGACTGAGCCAGCTGCAACTCTCCATTTGCCTGGCACAAGTCTCAAGTGTAATTTTAATTATAATGATAGGTGAAACTTCTTTTTCTCTTTTTTCCGAGCGTGCATTTTTCGTACCCCATTCGCGCTGTGGAGAACTGGAGTCCTTCTGGATTTTCTCCGAATGACTCCTCGCCCTCTCCTGGCGTAGACCGTGGCAGAATAGAGGAACGAGGTGGGAGGGGGTGAGGGGGATGGGAGGGGTATTATAGCGACACGCGACTTCAAGTTCTCTCCAGTTCTGACCAGATCGGTCTACTTTAGGGACTTCTGCCAAGCAGGGGAAGGCGAAGAACAGCAGTGAGGCTGCTGTTGGCGCCTCAGACAACACTGGAAAAACTGTGACAAATGTTACACCAATTGGTGTGACCGGTTTTGGTCGCACCACGTAACGTGACCGTGGCCTGAGTTTACGTCACACCAATTATGTGACATCATACAAGAAGAGTATAGTCAGAACCAGGGTTGGCATAAAGAATTAAATGGGGCGAAAAGGGGCAAAATGTAATACAGCTGGGGACACCTACCGACTACAAAACACTACTGCAAACCTCGCAGTCGACGGCTTCCTGAGCGTGAGCTAGGTCGGGCATCCCGTTTTGATAAAGGTTGCCGTTATGTTGCTGATTAGCAGATTTTCAGTCTTATTTTGATGCCTTATTGAATTTAAAGATACAAGCCTCAGTGCCATATTTTTTGAATTTGTTTTGGAGCTGGACTGTCTCGTTACCGGCCGGCAGGCCAGTTTTTATTATAAAGATACCCAGTCAAACTCTTAAAAGTTTTGAACGTACTGGTAAGCACTTGCATGTACAGGCTTCGTGCACACTTAATTTATCAGTGTGGCTCTGTGACTTATTCCACCCGATCTAACGATGGTTTAATCATTTTGGTAATAGAGTGACAGAGAAAGTTTAAAGTAAACAAATAGGTCCACCTTTTAACCAAATGGGACATGAAATATGAGAGACGCGCTGCTGTTATCAGGACGAATAGCATAATGCTATTTCCTATTATTTAACAGCGTGAGCATTTTGTGGACATTTCGCTCGTACTTGGTGTGCGCGAGGAAACACGGTGGCAACGCTCGCTCGGGGTTCCCCAGGGTTCCAACGCGTGACCGGGGATTTCCGCAATCGACAATATTCCCCCTTGCCGCCGCTTGCCCTGCCGGCTAATCCTCCGTTTCTTCTCTCAATGCCCGTGCTCGACCAGACCCAGGCCTGAGCCACGCAGGTATGTCCGCAATCGACGGGAACCCGGATGGAGACACCTCCGCGCCACACCACACATCCACGTCGTGGAGCAAATGACTACCCCCTTCCCGCAGTGTAGTAGACGCACACCAAATATTCACCCCTTTACCCCTGCCAATGCTGAATATTGAATCTAAGTACGGTTCCTCGTACTCCTGCTCACATGCATAAAACACCGAGACTCCCGCACCCGCAGCCCCCCGGAGGACGGGCCAGCGCCCCATCTCCCCCCTCCCCCAAACCAGGAGCGTATTAAGGGCTAGCCGACAGAGGGGGCACAGTGCAGAGCAAGTCGCCTATATACAATGTTTTTTTAGCTCGATTGCCTACCTTTCAGGCGGCTCTCTAGTATCAACCCACCCACACCAGGGTGGAAAAGGGGGGAGGCTGCGCTGCGCCCGCTGCGCCCCCACCTTGTGCCTCCGCTTGCCCCGCCCCACACCACCGCGCCCCGGCATCACGGCCCCCTCGGGGGCAAACGGGCCCGGGCACACTGCAGCCAGCAGCCATGCTGCAGTCGTGCGGGAGGGAGAGCCGTCCGCCGAGCAATCCGCAAGGCAACCGGCGAAGGAGGCAAACCCTTGCGACGCGAGAGGGCTGCAGAACACCCGCAAGGCAACCGTATTGTAAACAAGCTAGGCCCGCCCTTCCGCCACATATCGCGGGTGGTATCGGATTCACCCAGTTAGTGTTACGATCGAAATACTCGAGTAGTGTTCGGATACATGTAGGAACCCACATGGGAGTTTTCGGGAGCCCTCACACACTCAATTGGAAAAATACAACTTTCTATCTAGGTTAGCTTAGATGTGTCCTTGTGCACAGTGCACATTTAAACCAGGTATAAAAATTATTATTCAAAATGGTGCGTCCTGCCGTTAAATAATACATAAGCTCAGACAACGCACGGTCTCATGGTGCCTGCAAGGTAGGCAACATCTTGCCGGTAGTACATGCGTGTATACTACGGGTTGGCCTGACCTGAGTCTTGCAGGCGCCGAGCTCTACTGAATGGTCAGATGAATCTGAGAAACGGATAAACTTTATAACATTGCTGTCTGCATGTATGTAGGCACAATAACTCGAGAACGGATTGAGCTTGGAAGCTGACATTTTCAGGGTCGGTTTATATCAGAATAAAAAGTCCGAACTATTGAATTTGGACTTTCACAAAACGTCAGAGATCAGCCTAACACATAAAAGTCCGTTCGTTTTTGCTGAATTCCTTTACAGTTTAAGGGCTAATTTTTCGTGGACGAAAATAAGCGGAACGACTGAGTATTTCTAAAAGGAGGGCCGAAATCAGGACAAAAATCGACAAAAATGCTCATTGTAATTCAGTATTCAGAGTTGTTGGGTTTGGCGTAGCGACAACCGACAACTTTATAAATACACAACAAATTTTAGACAACCGAAAAATCGGAGCACTTAATTGACCACGGCATCTTTAAAGTCTTTGGCAATGTCTACTTTGGGGCCCAAAGCCCCCACCTTTGATTGCGCTTTTTGTCGGACTCGGCTGTTGGCGCCGCAAGCCAAGGTAGATGTGCGCCAGGCGCCTTGCGTCGGAGGCCGGACGTACATCTACCTAGTAACTATATTGAATAGGATGCGAACGAAATATTCTTTCTCAGCGCAATGTGTGCATGATCTTATGCTACGTGCACGACATGAACTTATCGTTTCCCAGTAGTACTGTTCTGACATGGATGTTCTTTTGCAGGGAGCCTCCCGCTCCCCCTCCCCTGCCCGGGCCTGGACACCACCGGCCCAAGGCACTCGGCCGATGACGCTTCCCGCTCCTGGTGCAGCAGCTGCCTTATAATCTCGACTTCCTTTCATGGACTCACGGTAAGTACGAGTACAGTGTACGAGAAAATGACGAGAAAAAAGTCTGCTTTAGAACAATTTTTTTTCTTTCATTTGCTATTGAATACAGGGTGTCCCATAAGCCCCATAATTATTGTAGTTGTGTAGCACATGGGCGTGGTGTGGACCTACCGTCCTCCTTCATGGCGCCAAACGATTAGGCCACGCACCCACACGCGTGCGCGTGGCATGAGTATAACTTATTTAAAAAGTGCGGGGTCTACAACAAAGCCCGATAAGCCCCTTTGCGTTTTGTTGTGCACAAACTTGCGAATTACAAGCAGCCTTAAGATTAGCCTAAGCAAACTTTCATTCATGATTATGTACAATTTGTTCATGGTGTTATTGTGTCTATTCAGAGCGTAAAGTTTCGAACTCAAATCGTCAGTTTATGAGATTTGCCTGTCGATTTGCTGCTTTATCTACTCTTTGACTGCACTCATAAATTTATGCTGCGCGTACAACGGAAATTACGAATAATTTCGTTAGTTTTACAGAGTTAATGTTAAGTTTTTAGTAGTTTGACTGATTCTCGACGCCCTCTCGGTGTGTGCAGGTCGGACATGACAGGAGCGGCAGAGGCAGCAGCCACAGCAGCAGCAGCGGAGGCGGAGGCCGGGGGCGATAGCTCGTGGGGGCCGCAACTTGTGCGCCCGCCGCCCCCACAGCTGACGCGGGGGAGGGGGCGCATGGGGAGGGGGCGCGCGCGGACATAAGCCCCATGCACCATGTCCGAGTGCTCGGAGTCGGTCTCGGAGGAGGAGCGCAGCTTGTTCCGGCCCTTCACCAGAGAGTCACTATCAGCCATCGAGACGCGGATCGCGGAGCAGGAGGCTCGCCATCGGGAGCTGGAGCGGAAGCGCGCGGAGGGGGAGGTAAGCGTCGCAGCCTCACCTCGGCGTCGACAACCGATAACAAAACCCCCTGTAACTTCCCCCTTGCCATGCAACTGTCACAAACTACCACTCGAAACCTGATACAACAAGTCTGTGGGTGGCGGCAAAACAAAAAAAAATGTAATTTTAAAAAAAACTACAGCGCTTGTTCTCCCCTCCCCCTTTTTTTTTGTTTGTGTCTTCTGAATGAGTAGTTTAGTACCACCTTTACTTTTGCAATACTTTGCATCAGTCAGAAGTCGCGTTCTGATCTTTCCTCAAGTTTTACTGTGTTACATTACCTTGTTCTTCACCTGTCGTAGAATTCCGACCTGTCTTCTCTGACTTCCTTAATTTTCTTCTTCAAAAGTAGCAATAGAAACTAAGTAATGCAGTGTCAGTCAGCTACTTATTTTTCAGTTGGTTGTTATTTTGGACAGGGCCTCGGACAGAGCCGTCTCTGCCTCCCTTCTCCGACTTACAACTGAACTCACAATATCCCTTGGTTAATGTGATGCTGATTGGAGTTATTTACAACCTGTTTTGTGTAGATATTCTGTGTGCTCTTGTTAAATGTTTTTCCACGCACAGATCCCTAAGCTGAGCCTTAGAATGCGTACATGTTCCAAAATCAAAATAGCGTTCATTCAGTAATTAAGAAAAAACTTATAAAGGAAAAGAAAAACTTTACCGCCTCCTTGATGTGGCCAAAGCCAGCTTTCATATCTGTGTGGAAGTGCCGAGTATCTACCGTGAACTCAGCGGCGCCCTGCATACGCCGGGTGCTACCCATAGCATTGCGTGTTGTTTTGACCCTCGCCATGTCTCTCTCTGTCTCTGTACAACTGTATTGTCCTTACTTTCTCTTTGTCTCTGTCTGTGTGCTCGCTGTTTACCTATTCCTCCGCTCTCGTATATTTCAGGATGAGTATATGGGACGGAAGAAATCGAAAAAAGAAGTAAGAGCATGAGACTTTAGCCTTAGTCTTGCTGAGGCTCGCCTCTCCCCCTTGTTTTGTCGTTACCTCGCCTGTCACGGGACATTAAAAAAAATCACGATTCGTAAAACATACTAGCATTTGTGACGCCTGCATTAATTTTGTGGTTGTTCGCCAATTCAGAAAAAATGTTAGTGAGAAGAAATAGTTATACGTAAATCTATTGCATTTGAATTCTTGGTAATACCGTCGTACTGTTATGTTCAGTGAAAGTCTTAAAAGACTATTAGAGTAAGTGGTACTACAACAAGAGTTTTAGTTTTTTTGAATGTATGTGTTACCTGCAACCTAAATTGTCATGAAGTGACTTCTTGATGACACGAAAAAAGTCGAGTCGAAGAGTCACTTAAAGTACTGCCCAAATTACTTGCGAGGCAACGACCTAGTAAAATAACCTGTTTCCACCAGGCTGCTTTCCCCTCTAGCTGTTGGATCGAGGCACTTCCCCTCTCGTCGCACCCGCATGCGCCTTAGCTTTTCTCTCTCTATCTCTCTCTTTCTGTATGTTCCTCTCTTTAGTTTATTTCAGTGATTTTTGCATCTTTACAGCAAGTTACTGAACCTAGTTCGGAAACTTTCTGGTGATATTTACGTATCTTTATTTGAATCTGTCTTATTTTCTATCTTTAATTTTCT